AGATAAAAAAAAATGTACTTGAAAAGTAACTAAATAAAATTTATTATAAGAAAAACAAAAACAAAAACAAAAAAATGCCCGAAGTTCCTTCGGTGTCCCCTGTCAGTTGTCGCCTCTTTCTCCTGGCAGCCCTGGTCCCCGCCAGTGGCTCGCTCGTTCCCACCTCCACGCTTCTTGCTTTTACTTCCGGGCTTTTGCTTTCACTGTTTCTTTCTGGCTGAACCCGGCTGACAGTTCCTCGTAGTAGCCGACGCTGTAAATGGTGGAGTGTTACCCACGGACACGACTGCTCACAGGTACGAGGTTAGAGCGGGTTGACTCCGTTCTCAACGCGGCGCTTTTGGCTGATGGAGAATGGCCGTCTGTCGGCTCTCTGGCACCATGGCCGGATCCCAGGGAGCTGATCTCTCCATCTCTCTCCAGCAACGTCTGTGGTGGCAGAGCTGTAGACTGGGGGCTGTGTGCCTATTCGTGGAGACCCTTGGTGGCCTCCCCTCCCTGCTCCACCAGCAGCTTTCCCGGCTCTGCGGGGCTGGTGCTGTGTCCTGTGAGTTAATGGGTGGGGCAGCCTCCCTGGGACCCAGTGCTTGTCCCCTGCTCTGTGCTCCATTAATGCCAACGAAATTGTGTCCGGCCATTTCTTGATGTGGACGTTGTCGTTGGGGAGGAACTCCATGTGCCATTACCGGGCGTGGGACCACTGTACTGCTGTGGCCTCTGGGCTGGCTGGGCCCATCGCAGAGCAAGTGTTTCTAGAATTTCTCTCCAGCAACGTCCCTGTGGGCGCTAATTTCAGGGAGATACGTGGGTTCGTCCTCTCCGGCAGCCTAACTGGTCTCTCTCCCTGCCACAGGGTCCCTTCTCTCTGTGCTTTGCTACTGGCTCTCCCTCCCCGTCCTGTGCTGAGGATTGCCCGTTGTTCTGTCCCTATCGTCCGGTATTTCTTTCCGCTCTACACATCGACGCTTGATTCCTTAGCTGTGCGTATTGCGTAATACCGCTCAGAAAGCGCGGGCTCCTTTTATTTTTATCTTTTCCTTTAATTTTAGGCCTGCATTCGCCTAGCACCCAGGAGAGCCTAAGTAGCCAGGCTGCGGGCACAGCCGCGGCCTTTGTCTCCTGCATCAGCTCAGACGCTGGTTGTCCTCGGGGTCCGAAGTCTCCGCCGAGATGGAGCAGCACTTTCTCGACTACGGGAAGTCGGCTTGGGACGCCGTTGACCGGGCGCCGCGGCCCAGGCCTCCGTCGTTGCTGATCTCCGAAGACTCGGGACCGTGGCCGCTGCCCTTCTACCCGGTACTGGGAGAGTCCGCGGGCAACTACGACGCGTACGGCGGGCAACTGCTTTGCAGTCCTTGTTGGCGGCTGCCCTCGGTCTAGGGCACGTACAGACTCTTGACCGCGGCCCAGAGCTCCTGGGAGGGAAGCCCAGCCCAGGCCAGTCTGGGTCCCTCGCCAGAGACGCCAGAGACGCCAGAGACGCCAGAGACGCCAGAGACGCCAGAGACGCCAGAGACGCCAGAGAGCCCAGCGGAACCCGCCCGAGAGCCTGAGCCGGCAGAAGAAACCCCTTCCCCGGGGCCTGCCCAGGAGCCGTGGCCCAGCGCCCGAGACGGACAGCAGATGGCGGAGAAGTTTGAAGGCCCGCGCCCTGCAGAGCGCCGCCCACCGCGGGCTCCAGCCGCACGGTGCCCGCACCCCGATTTCTCTGGCTGCCTGCGGTGGGTCCGTCGCGCCGTCTGCTCCCTGAGCCGCGCGGCTGCGGGCTGCTGCGGCGTCTTCCTGGACCTTAAAGGGCCCTGAGACTGGGGCGAGAGGGAGCCCTGCGGGAGGGGGGGAGGGGGCGCCCGGGCTGAAAGAATCTCCTTTTGCAATAAAACTGGCCGGGGGGTGGGTGTGGGATGGGAGAAATAGATAGATAAAAAAAAATGTACTTGAAAAGTAACTAAATAAAATTTATTATAAAAAAACAAAAACAAAAACAAAAAAAATGCCCGAAGTTCCTTCGGTGTCCCCTGTCAGTTGTCGCCTCTTTCTCCTGGCAGCCCTGGTCCCCGCCAGTGGCTCGCTCGTTCCCACCTCCACGCTTCTTGCTTTTACTTCAGGGCTTTTGCTTTCACTGTTTCTTACTGGCTGAACCCGGCTGACAGTTCCTCGTAGTAGTCGACACTGTAAATGGTGGGGTGTTACCCAGGGACACGACTGCTCACAGGTACGAGGTTAGAGCGGGTTGACTCCGTTCTCAACGCGGCGCTTTTGGCTGATGGAGAATGGCCGTCTGTCGGCTCTCTGGCACCATGGCCGGATCCCAGGGAGCTGATCTCTCCATCTCTCTCCAGCAACGTCTGTGGTGGCAGAGCTGTAGACTGGGGGCTGTGTGCCTATTCGTGGAGACCCTTGGTGGCCTCCCCTCCCTGCTCCACCAGCAGCTTTCCCGGCTCTGCGGGGCTGGTGCTGTGTCCTGTGAGTTAATGGGTGGGGCAGCCTCCCTGGGACCCAGTGCTTGTCCCCTGCTCTGTGCTCCATTAATGCCAACGAAATTGTGTCCGGCCATTTCTTGATGTGGACGTTGTCGTTGGGGAGGAACTCCATGTGCCATTACCGGGCGTGGGACCACTGTACTTCTGTGGCCTCTGGGCTGGCTGGCCCCATCGCAGAGCAAGTGTTTCTAGAATTTCTCTCCAGCAACGTCCCTGTGGGCGCTAATTTCAGGGAGATACGTGGGTTCGTCCTCTCCGGCAGCCTAACTGGTCTCTCTCCCTGCCACAGGGTCCCTTCTCTCTGTGCTTTGCTACTGGCTCTCCCTCCCCGTCCTGTGCTGAGGATTGCCCGTTGTTCTGTCCCTATCGTCCGGTATTTCTTTCCGCTCTACACATCGACGCTTGATTCCTTAGCTGTGCGTATTGCGTAATACCGCTCAGAAAGCGCGGGCTCCTTTTATTTTTATCTTTTCCTTTAATTTTAGGCCTGCATTCGCCTAGCACCCAGGAGAGCCTAAGTAGCCAGGCTGCGGGCACAGCCGCGGCCTTTGTCTCCTGCATCAGCTCAGACGCTGGTTGTCCTCGGGGTCCGAAGTCTCCGCCGAGATGGAGCAGCACTTTCTCGACTACGGGAAGTCGGCTTGGGACGCCGCTGACGGGGCGCCGCGGCCCAGGCCTCCGTCGTTGCTGATCTCCGAAGACTCGGGACCGTGGCCGCTGCCCTTCTACCCGGTACTGGGAGAGTCCGCGGGCAACTACGACGCGTACGGCGGGCAACTGCTTTGCAGTCCTTGTTGGCGGCTGCCCTCGGTCTAGGGCACGTACAGACTCTTGACCGCGGCCCAGAGCTCCTGGGAGGGAAGCCCAGCCCAGGCCAGTCTGGGTCCCTCGCCAGAGACGCCAGAGACGCCAGAGACGCCAGAGACGCCAGAGACGCCAGAGACGCCAGAGACGCCAGAGAGCCCAGCGGAACCCGCCCGAGAGCCTGAGCCGGCAGAAGAAACCCCTTCCCCGGGGCCTGCCCAGGAGCCGTGGCCCAGCGCCCGAGACGGACAGCAGATGGCGGAGAAGTTTGAAGGCCCGCGCCCTGCAGAGCGCCGCCCACCGCGGGCTCCAGCCGCAGGGTGCCCGCACCCCGATTTCTCTGGCTGCCTGCGGTGGGTCCGTCGCGCCGTCTGCTCCCTGAGCCGCGCGGCTGCGGGCTGCTGCGGCGTCTTCCTGGACCTTAAAGGGCCCTGAGACTGGGGCGAGAGGGAGCCCTGCGGGAGGGGGGGGGAGGGGGCGCCCGGGCTGAAAGAATCTCCTTTTGCAATAAAACTGGCCGGGGGGTGGGTGTGGGATGGGAGAAATAGATAAAAAAAAATGTACTTGAAAAGTAACTAAATAAAATTTATTATAAAAAAAAAAACAAAAACAAAAAAAAAATGCCCGAAGTTCCTTCGGTGTCCCCTGTCAGTTATCGCCTCTTTCTCCTGGCAGCCCTGGTCCCCGCCAGTGGCTCGCTCGTTCCCACCTCCACGCTTCTTGCTTTTACTTAAGGGCTTTTGCTTTCACTGTTTCTTTCTGGCTGAACCCGGCTGACAGTTCCTCGTAGTAGCCGACGCTGTAAATGGTGGGGTGTGACCCAGGGACACGACTGCTCACAGGTACGAGGTTAGAGCGGGTTGACTCCGTTCTCAACGCGGCGCTTTTGGCTGATGGAGAATGGCCGTCTGTCGGCTCTCTGGCACCATGGCCGGATCCCAGGGAGCTGATCTCTCCACCTCTCTCCAGCAACGTCTGTGGTGGCAGAGCTGTAGACTGGGGGCTGTGTGCCTATTCGTGGAGACCCTTGGTGGCCTCCCCTCCCTGCTCCACCAGCAGCTTTCCCGGCTCTGCGGGGCTGGTGCTGTGTCCTGTGAGTTAATGGGTGGGGCAGCCTCCCTGGGACCCAGTGCTTGTCCCCTGCTCTGTGCTCCATTAATGCCAACGAAATTGTGTCCGGCCATTTCTTGATGTGGACGTTGTCGTTGGGGAGGAACTCCATGTGCCATTACCGGGCGTGGGACCACTGTACTGCTGTGGCCTCTGGGCTGGCTGGCCCCCTCGCAGAGCAAGTGTTTCTAGAATTTCTCTCCAGCAACGTCCCTGTGGGCGCTAATTTCAGGGAGATACGTGGGTTCGTCCTCTCCGGCAGCCTAACTGGTCTCTCTCCCTGCCACAGGGTCCCTTCTCTCTGTGCTTTGCTACTGGCTCTCCCTCCCCGTCCTGTGCTGAGGATTGCCCGTTGTTCTGTCCCTATCGTCCGGTATTTCTTTCCGCTCTACACATCGACGCTTGATTCCTTAGCTGTGCGTATTGCGTAATACCGCTCAGAAAGCGCGGGCTCCTTTTATTTTTATCTTTTCCTTTAATTTTAGGCCTGCATTCGCCTAGCACCCAGGAGAGCCTAAGTAGCCAGGCTGCGGGCACAGCCGCGGCCTTTGTCTCCTGCATCAGCTCAGACGCTGGTTGTCCTCGGGGTCCGAAGTCTCCGCCGAGATGGAGCAGCACTTTCTCGACTACGGGAAGTCGGCTTGGGACGCCGTTGACCGGGCGCCGCGGCCCAGGCCTCCGTCGTTGCTGATCTCCGAAGACTCGGGACCGTGGCCGCTGCCCTTCTACCCGGTACTGGGAGAGTCCGCGGGCAACTACGACGCGTACGGCGGGCAACTGCTTTGCAGTCCTTGTTGGCGGCTGCCCTCGGTCTACGGCACGTACAGACTCTTGACCGCGGCCCAGAGCTCCTGGGAGGGAAGCCCAGCGCAGGCCAGTCTGGGTCCCTCGCCAGAGACGCCAGAGACGCCAGAGACGCCAGAGAGCCCAGCGGAACCCGCCCGAGAGTCTGAGCCCGCAGAAGAAACCCCTTCTCCGGGGCCTGCCCAGGAGCCGTGGCCCAGCGCCCGAGACGGACAGCAGATGGCGGAGAAGTTTGAAGGCCCGCGCCCTGCAGAGCGCCGCCCACCGCGGGCTCCAGCCGCACGGTGCCCGCACCCCGATTTCTCTGGCTGCCTGCGGTGGGTCCGTCGGGCCGTCTGCTCCCTGAGCCGCGCGGCTGCGGGCTGCTGCGGGGTCTTCCGGGACCTTAAAGGGCCCTGAGACTGCGGCGGGAGGGAGCCGTGGGGGAGGGGGGGGGGCGCCCGGGCTGAAAGAATCTCCTTTTGCAATAAAACTGGCCGGGGGGCGGCGGTGATGGGAGAAATAGATTAAAAAAATGTACTTGAAAAGGAACTAAATAAAATTTATTATAAAAAAAAACAAAAAAAAATGCCCGAAGTTCCTTCGGTGTCCCCTGTCAGTTGTCGCCTCTTTCTCCTGGCAGCCCTGGTCGCCGCCAGTGGCTCGCTGGGTCCCACCTCCACGCTTCTTGCTTTTACTTAAGGGCTTTTACTTCCACTGTTTCTTTCTGGCTGAAACCGGCTGACAGTTCCTCGTAGTAGCCGACACTGTAAATGGTGGGGTGTGACCCAGGGACACGACTGCTCACATGTACGAGGTTAGAGCGGGTTGACTCCGTTCTCAACGCGGCGCTTTTGGCTCTTGGAGAATGGCCGTCTGTCGGCTCTCTGGCACCATGGCCGGATCCCAGGGAGCTGATCTCTCCATCTCTCTCCAGCAACGTCTGTGGTGGCAGAGCTGTAGACTGGGGGCTGTGTGCCTATTCGTGGAGACCCTTGGTGGCCTCCCCTCCCTGCTCCACGAGCAGCTTTCCCGGCTCTGCGGGGCTGGTGCTGTGTCCTGTGAGCTCATGGGTGGGGCAGCCTCCCTGGGACCCAGTGCTTGCTCCCTTCTCTGTGCTCCATTAATGCCAACGAAATTGTGTCCACCCTTTTCTCGATGTGGACATCGTCGGTTCGGAGGAACTCCATGTGCCATTACCGGGAGTTGGACAGGTGTCCCGCTGTTGGGTCTGGGCTCGCTCACCCTTTTCCTGCTCCTGTGATTTCTCTGGTCTGTCTCCAGCAATGTCTCTGTGGGCCTGGGCGCTGATTTCAGGGAGACTGCAAAGTCTGCTCCTCCGTGCACACGGGAAAGTCTGAGGGTTTCAAAAGTCTCCCTTCAGCAGGGGGGCTGTGCACCCTAGAACTGAGAGGGAGGAGGGAGTTCAGGCTGACTCCCGACACACGATATTTTTTCTCTTCTCTTCCCCTTTTCCTAGGCTAGGGCTCTCAGCTCAATGCTTGGACTGCACTCGGTGCAGGCTGAGCAGGCTGGTTTCAGAGGCACGTTCAGTCTTCTCCTGGCTCCTCGCTCCTGTTCTTCAGTGAGTGCAGCGCCCCCTCTCGGAGACCAGCAGTCCTCCTCTCTACGTGGGGTGCTCACGGTGAAGGCCTGCTGCTCTGAGATGGGAGACTGCAGTGTCTGCTCCCTGGTGCACAGCCCCAGGTGTAAAGGTTTCCCTTTCTCCCTTCAGCAGGGGGCTTCTCAACCTCAGAATTGAGAGGGACTCCAAGGCAGGCTGACTTTAGAGCCATGTGATTTCGTTCCCATGTTAGAAATTGTTCCTTTCTCTCTACCCCTTTCTACGTCTTCTTGGGTTTACGGAATTTTTTGACGTTGACGTTGTTAGGTTAAGTAGGTTCTAACAGGCATGTTGCTGTCCCCGGGTGCTGTGGCTCAGGCGGTTGAGTGCCCGTTTGGGAACCAAAGGGTCACAGGTTCAATTCCCGAGCAGGGCACTTGCCTGGTTTGGGTCCAGGTTCCTAGTGGGGGTCCTCAGAGGAGGTAACCACACAGCGAAGTTTGTCTTGCTGTCTTTTTCTCTCCCTTCTCCTCTCTAGAAATAAATCAATAAAATGTAAAGAGAAAGAAAGACAGCAGGCCAAATGCGGTTTTGGGAGCCCAGCACCGCTGTGGGCTGTGCCTTTGCTGCCCGGCTGCAGCCTGAACGATGTCTCCGGGTTGTCTGCAGCAATGTCGCTGGGGGCTCAGAGCCCTAGAGGGGTGTGAGTGGGCGCTGATTTCGGGGGACCCTCGGTTTCCTGGGTCCCTGCACCAAGGAGCGTTTTCTGTACCTTTTGCTGGTAGTTCCTGTCCCATGGTTCTGACCTGTGGGTGGTTCTGAGCACTATGCTCCTTTTACTTATGTATGTATGTATGTATGTATGTATGTATTTATCTTTTTAAGAACACATTTTATTTCTTCTTTTTATTTTCAGAGAGAGGGGAAGGGAAGGAGAGAAAGAGAAAGATCAATGTGTGGCTGCCACTCCGGGGTCCCCACTGGGGACCCGGCTGCAACCCAGGCATGTGTCCTGACCGAGAATCGAACTGTGACTCTTTGGGTCGCAGCCCTCGCTCAGCGCACTGAGCTACACCAGCCAGGGTCGTCTCCCCCTCTTTTTTTTGTATGTCAGTGGGTGTTAGGGACTTCCTGAAAGTGACGTTATCAGCGCAGATTAACTGGGTTTCAGTTCCGAATCTTTGGAACACAGCAAGGCTGTGGGCTGTTTCCCCGCTCTACCTGTCGCAGCCCCTGTGATTTCTCCGTTTCCTCTGCAGCAAGGTCGTTGGCAGCAGCGCTCGAGGCCACTCGCCCGGTTGCAGCACGTGTGCTTCACCTGCTTTCTCTCCAGCAATGTCCGTCTGGGTGGGCAACCTAGGGCGGTGCGTGGGCGCTGCATTCAGGGAGACTGCCGGCTCTGCCCCTGTGTGCACACAGCAAGCGCTGAGCGTTCCCCATTTCTCCCCGCAGCAGGGGGACTGTGGGCCCCAGAACTGAGAGGGAGGTGAGTGCAGGCTGAGTCCAGACACAAGGTATTTTTTCTCTTCTCTGCCCCTCTGCCTGGGCTTCGGATGGATAGTGCTCCTTCTCGAAGATTTCATGCTGCTTCTATCTCTTGTTTTCTCCTGCTGAATCTATGGTGCTCTGAGCCTACAGGCTGCTGTTCTGAAAATAAAGTTTCTGGTACTGCTGGCTCAGACCCAGGTGTGACGGTTTTGATTTTTACTTTCTAGCTGTAGAGTCTCAGCCCAGTACTGGGAGGGCGGCCAGTGCAGGCTCATTCCAGAGACACGTTGTATCTTCTCTTTGCGTCCTTGTTCCTGTTCCTGCGTCTGCCCAGGATCACCTCTCGGAGACCAGCAGTCCTCCTCTCTACGTGGTTTGCTCACGGTGAAGGCGTGTTGCTCTGGGGTCAGAGACTGCAGTGTCTGCTCCCTGGTGCACAGCCCCAGGTGTAAAGGTTTCCCTTTCTCCCTTCAGCAGGGGGACTCTCAACCCCAGAACTGAGAGGCACTTGAGGACAGGCTGACCTTAGACCCCTGTGATTTCTTCCCTTCTCAGCCCCTTTCCCTGGTCTCCTGTCAGGGCAGCCACAATTCTTTCAATATTGTGCTGCCTTGGATGTGGTTTTCCTCGCACTGACCCTATTGCACGCTCTGGCTTTTTAAGCAACGGTACCCGCTAACCTCTGTGCCACTGGTTCCATATGCAGAGGTCTGTAGGGTTCCTTTCGGTCCAGCGCCCTCCAGAGGAATGAGCCTGTGACTCTGAGAGCGGGGAGCGCAGGGTGATTCAGAGACAGGGTGTTTCCTGTCGTCCTTGCCCTGTTTTTGTTCTTCACTGAGTTTCCTGTTACTCCTTTCATTTTTATCCTGATTAATCTAAATTGTATTCTCAAAAGGAATGTTTGTTGCTCAGAGTTTGGAGGTTACAGTACTGATGAAACATGTCTGCTGGTGTTGCCTAGACCTAGCTGGGAGGGTTGAGATTTTTGTCCCCAGTAGTAGGGCACTAAGCTCAAAAATTGGCAGGGGCTGAGTGCCTGCTGATTTCAGAGACCCGTGTTCTCTTCTCCTCCTTGAGAAAATGCAGCTGTGCTCTTGCCCCCAAAGTGGTAGAAAACCATGCAGTCCTTCTGATGAGACGGTGTCAGAGAACCAGGCGGGAAGTTTAGACAATGCAGTGCGTGGAGGGCAGGCACCTGTGCAGGGAGACGCCAAACAGTGGGTCCCAGAAATCATCCTGCACGCACCGCCCTTCAGAGTTATGGGTCCACAGTCCTGTTTCTGGTGAGAAACTGGAGCCACCAGTGGCACCGTAGCTCAGCCAGCACTGGCAGAGAGCCTACAGTGGTGCCATCACCAAAGGCAGATGTCCCTTCAAGGGCCAACAAATGCGCCGCCGAACAGGAGCACGAGGCTCTGAAAACGAACCTGTCGGCCCTGTCAAGCATCTGGGCGAGTAGAAAGAGCAGTGTTCTGTGCAAAAGCCCCTGTCTTTGTATGAAGTGTAAAACGCAATGATAGCCACTTAGCTTGTGTCATGCCAGTTGTTCTGTGACCGCCATCAGGTGGGCTCTGCGGCAAGTGACAGGGCCCACCCTGGGAAAGTGGCTCCGTGCAGCTGCCTGCTGGGACCGTGAAACCTCGCAGTCAACCAGCCTAGGAGGACCCAGTTAGCGGAAGCCCGGCTTGTACCAGGAGGGCTTTGCCTTGAGCCGCACTGCAAACAAAGGGAATGAGAAACTGGCGTGTGTGTGTGTGTGTGTGTGTGTGTGTGTCTGTGTCTGTGTGTGTGGCTGTTTGCACAAAAAAACAGCGACTGGATACAAGTATTGCATTGGCCAGAGAGAAAGCACTGCCCCAAGGGAGGCCTGAAAGGAGCAGGCGAGCAATCAAAGGGGAGGGCTTGTCCCGATGGGCGGGAAACCGCTCCTGCAGTTCCAGTAAGAGACACACCGAAAAGTGGTCGTTTTGACCACTTACACGGACCGGATCCAGCCCGCACCTCAAGAAGCGGCTGGCCCTGAGCCCCGAGAAACGACTGGTGAACCCGTGCTAGAGGGACGCCCAGAGTGGCCTGCATCACCCACAGCTCTCCATTCCCTGGCCCAGGAGGGAGCGACCAGACTGCCGGAAAGGAGCGACCAAAGCGGAGAGGAGAAAGAGGCAACAACTGACAACGGACAACGTTGGACCACGTTGGACACGCTGTTCAGACGCAGTGTCCCAGGCAATACTGCGGTGGGCCTGCCTCAAAGTTGGAGGACGAGGTCCCGTCATTCCCAGGAAACAACGTAGCGGAATCAGGATTCTCTCCAGCAGCGTGTCTGGGGCCTCCCAGCCCCGGAGGCCATGGCTGACTGCAGTCTGCA